TGTTATGCCATTTTATAGTCTAGTATTGCTATCATGTCAATGTATGGTCAAGGAGTAGTGTCATGACTTTGTATGGTCTAGGAATACTATCATGTAATTGTACACTTTAGGAATACTGTCATGGCATTGAACAGTGTAGTAATACTGTCATAGCAATTTTCGGTTTAGGAGTACTGTCATGAGTTTGTATGATTTTGTAATGCTGTCATGGCTTTGTATGGTCTAGGAATACTATCATGTCATTGTACATGGATACTGTCATGAGTCTGTTCTCATAAGAATAAATACTACAGAGGGTGGTTATGCATTCATCACAGATTCTGGGACACTGGCTCACCAGATGACATTGGTATTCCAAGATAACAATCTGGATATTCTATACTATGTGAAGTTACCATTACACAAACCACTGCTGAACACAGGACAGGTCTGTTTACTGTAGCAGTGTGGGTTATTCTGAATGATGATATGTGAGTGTTAGTGGACAACCATGGAGGGCCTCACTACATGAAGGACTGGCATATGACAGGTCAACTACTCCTGTAGGTTCATCATGCTGGGATGACTCTTATCTGTATTTGTAGGTGGGTACACAAGATTTATTGCATCTTGAGATTTCTCTCTTTATTCATACAGGATTACCTCTAGTCAACATCGGTAGCATTATTGAACTCACTTTGTAGGATTCACTGTCTAATAATGTCTACTGACTCAACTTGCTTCTGACTTCTTGACTAAATTGTTTCAAACATGATTTTTTATGAAACACTCTCAGTTTATTTTTCAGTCATTTGTAGAGCCTATTTGCCTGACAACTCTAAGGTTAAGTTCAACTGTTTGTAGAGCTGCATTCAATACCACTCAGCTACAGCATGGTAAGCCAGTACATTGTAATGTTTCTGGCAGTTGACATGGAGGCAGAAGGAGTTAAAGCCCAGTGCCAGCTAAGTTCAGTGTATTGTGGAGAAGAATGTGAGAGCTGACGGATTAGGCTGAAAGGTGCTACTCAGGAATTACAGGTGACAAGTCGGCAGCAGGAGGTGGTGTGAGGATCTGTTTGTCACTGATCTCCCAGCCAGGGAATCACTGTCAGTCTATCCCAGCACTACCACTCATTCCAACCAGGCTTTGTCAGTGTGAAAATTTGATCAAAATATCAGAAATGCCTCGGTAGAGAGACCTCCGAGCTTTACCCGATGACCAGGATTTGGAGAGGAACGCACGCATATAATCAAGTAAATGGTTTCAATAACCCTTGGTCCTCAGTTATTGCAAGATAAGTAGTTGTCACATTGTCCACAGGCTGTGTGTCACCTTTAGCAGCTTATGAGTACTTTTAGTGTGGAGAGTTAGCCTTTCTGTGTCCTGTGATCTGTGTGAATCAACCCAATTAAATGAATATTGACTGCCAGTGAATTGCGCTCGTCCTACCATGGCAGTTTACGACTATCGTGAAGCATTCATTGCTGTCTGAGGAGCTTGCTAGTTAAACACGTCCGGCACGGCATATGTAGGTGTATTTAAAGCCACATGTGCTAATTGTGTTACTGGCAACCAAGGAGGTGTAAGAGGGCAATACATGGAGAATGTTGACCAAATATGTCTTTCCCAGACTATGTTGCCAAGTTTCGACGTAAAATGGTGGAAATAAGAAGCAAATTCCGTGAAACATCCCGATTTGGAATCTATGGGGATTACTGGATGCCAAATTTGTCACCGTAAGTACGAACTGTTTTGTTTAACGTGTTGTATTTACCTTGAGGTCTCACTAATTGATACAGATCAGATCTTGAATGGAGATCTATAAAAATACCATTATGGTGACTGCCAACTTATAATGAATGGAGTTTCAAATGACAAGGTTGATTAGTCTGAGGTTCACGGGAACCCTTTAAGCCGTTATTGATAACTCTGTGATTGTGGGCCAGAGTAATGGTCACAAATTCCTTGTGTCAAACATTGTTTGCTGGTCATTCCTGTGTGAGGGGTTTTTCAGTAGGTTTCTTTTACAGAGAGTCGGGTCGTCTTAATGATAATCAGTCATAGTTTAAGGTTCCATGGATCTTGCAGTTTGTTGTACTTATTGTCAGTGTTCTAAGTCTTCTATGATGAGTTTCATGTCATATTTCCTGAGAGGTTAACTTTATGTGAGTTTGGTTTTGAGGGAGTTTTCTAACTGCTATATAACTTGTACAAGGTCTTTAAAACCTACTCAGATGAAATATTAATTTCAAAGGTTTGATATTATGTTAAGGAGATCAGTGGATAAATATATCTTTTTTAATGGTCAAGCACATTACTGACCTGTTACAAAGATTACCTTTTGATAAAACAAGCAATAGTGCAAATGTAGAAATATATATCTATATACGCACACACACATCGATAAAGTTTAATGTTAATACTGTTTAAATACACATTTATGAAAATTGATGCTAAATTAATAATTGACTGTCGCAGATTGTTTACGTTTGTTAAAATGACAGTGGTTAAGAAACAATGAAATGGCAGAAAATTCAATTTGAAACATTTAGTGGATGAATCAAATTCATATTTCGTGCGAATTAATTACAGGTCTAGATTGGATTTTTTAAACTATACATCGCAGAATAACTTCTTTTTTTGCAATGCAAGTATTTTTATGTTATGATAGTTTGGAGTTAACAGTACTAAACTTTCTGATGAATGGTAGCCCTACTGTTCAATCATTTGAAACTCTGAGCTGTTTGGTTATATAACATGAAAAGGGAAGCATATTTTATATATAAAAATGCAATTTTGAAATATCCATCAAAATCCAATGCTTCTAATGTGTGGATTATGCTACTTTTGTGAATATGATACGTCTCATTCACCATGATGTGTCTACGTGTGTTCATGTTTCACTGCCTTCAGTGTTCTATTCAGTCCTATGTTATCCAACTGTATTTCAGACAAAAGGCTTTAAGCTTTTATGCCTCTGCAAAGGATTTCGGTTTCCTCAGGCCTGTTATGTCAAAGGCAGTTCAATTGGAATTTTATCGTGTGATCCCTTGCCTTAGATGATGGGGTGATATCAGATAAGCCTCCAACATTGACCTGAAAGCTAGATTTATGTATTTTTCTGAACTTCCTGGCCTTTCATGTAAATTTTTAAAATTGGGTTAAAATTGATGTTGTTAGGCTTACACATAGCCATTTATTTGGCAGTGAAAAACAGGAAATTTATATTTTGAATTTATTGTCTCATCTGTATATTCTGAAAATTGAATCTAATGTTTACTGATTTGTTAGTGAAGTGCTACAGTCGAGTGTGGATGAAACAAACCATCAATTGATGTTATTAGAAATGTGGTACATTATCACAGGGCCTGGCTGTCCTTTCCATTTTAGTTCACTTGTATCATGAGATTGGCATGGTTTGTTATGGATTTGGTCAGTATAATACTATATTTAGGCATACCAAGAAAGGCTCAGGTAGTCTCTCTATGTGGAAGATTTCAAAGCTAATTGTATTGAACAAACTCTCTTACTGCTTTACATCTTGATAAATGGTGGGTTATCCAGAGCTGTTTGAGTTACCTTGAGCATGCTGGTGACAGTAATTAGTAAGAAATTCCAAAATGTTTAATTTCTATTTTGTCTCAAAATATCAAATCCTGTAATACAAAAATGTCTGCTTTGACGTAGAAATCAGCATATTTTTCAGATACTGATGAGAAAATGGGTTGGTTAAGACATGAAAATACCATTATTTCGTTATCCCTCACAAGTGAGTTCATTACAAAATAAGGTTCTGAATCCCACCTGGTGCCCTAAAATATCTTCAGCATTATTGATGAAATCGTTCGAGATTAAGGTTAAAGAAGTGCATATTATTCTAGGAAAAAAGTAACAAACTGTAAGCATGTTTTTTATATCGTAAAAGCTGCAGACAATTTGAATATGACAGATCACATCCACCCCTGCAGAATCAATTTCTGATGTACAAGCATCGTCTTCTGAGATATAATGTTTTATAAGCGCTAATAGCCAAGTTGATCAACCTGCTGTTAAAATAAGTCCTGATAGTCCAAAGTAGGGGGGCAGTGGGGTAGCCTAATGGTTAAAGCGTTGGCTCGTCACGCCGAAGACCCGGGTTCGAATCCCCACATGGGTACTATGTGTGAAGCCCATTTCTGGTGTCCCCCGCCGTGATGTTGCTGGAATATTGCTAAAAGCGGCGTAAAACCAAACTCAGTCAGTCAGTCCAAAGTAGGTGTACTGACAAGGAGATCTTCCACTCTGTAACAGTGTAAGTATTATAGTATTTATCATACCTAGATGTATAGCAATATGGACAAGTCACTGTTGTTCATTGGCTCCAAGCTTGGTCCAATCACAAGGATGAATAATACATCAACCTGTCACAAGCTAATGGTGAGTCTCCTGTCCACAGAAGCCAGTACTGTTTGGGGACTACTTGAGTGTTTAAAGTGTACAGTAGATAGGTGTCAGACAGTGTTGACATCTGCCCAGTAGTTGGTTGACTTGTCCCCTCCATAGGACAGAGAGAACCCTATATGAGAGGAATATATTTCCCCATCAACAATACCTGACACAGTGAAACATCTCACTTGCCTATCTGCCCAGATTAGAGGAAATTTAGGAAATTTCAATTGTTTGCTATTTTAGTGATTTCAATAAAAATATGTGTTGTCTTTTTGCAAACAGAAATATATTAAATTTTCAAAAGATCTAAGACACCATGCTATTTATGTGGTGTAAGTATGGTTTTACCATTGCCTCCCTTGCAAGTGAGTGAGTGAGTGAGTGAAGCAGTATTCCAGCAATATCACGGCAGGGGACAGCAGAACCTTTCTTGAAAGAAGCAAGTGTACAGAATTTCTGCAGTTCTCTGTCGACTTATAAATTCTTATTTTTTTAAAAATATTTTGTCTTTAAGATACTTATTGCAGAATTATGTCAATCACAGAGGCTGTTTCATGACACATGGCAGGCATGCTAGTTTAGTAACTCAAATATACTCGAAACTGTAACAGTTAAAGTTTACATTGCAAATTTCATCCGATTTTGGTGTTCAAATCATGAGTTATTAATTGAATTGGGCAGAAGGTGGAATATTCCTAGATCAGAAAGATTGTGTCCTTTTTTGTATTGTCCCAAACATTGAATCCAAGTACCATTTTTGTTTAAAGTGCGCATTTTATCATAACTTAAGATATACACTTCTTCCAAAATATTACTGGGAATATCCAACTTCAGACAAGATGCCAGCATTATTTTTCTCAAAAGGTGTAGTTTTATGAAATCTCTGTAAATGTTTTTAGCAGCCAAGAAAAGACAAACTCTCTTTAAAGATGTCCCTCTTAGATAAACATTTCTAATGCATTTATTTTGTGAAAGCTGTTACTCGTATAAATACATCTACTATAATTGCGAGCCATCATTTCAAGCTCTCTGTATACAACAAACATATGTACCACAATATCTGTATCATGGGCCTATGGCCCCCTTATGAAATAAACACATGTCAATGGCAGGCATGCTGGAATGTTATATTTTCCTTGATGAGTGAGATTATTTGAAGCAAGGGTCTGTTAGGTCTGCTAAGAACTGTATGTCTTAAGCCATAGATAAGTAGAAGAATGAAGATGATGAAGTTTGCTCCACATGTCGAGGATTCTTTGTTTAGAAGCACCTTTTGTGTACCATTTACCTAACTCACTCATTCCTTTATCCTACAGATTAGCTAGTAAGGTGCCTGATCATCAAATTATTTCATTATGATATATATTGATCTTTAATGAGATATTTCAAAAATGTCTTTGTTGTCATTAATGTCAAATTCTGTTGACCCATTTAGCAGCTATCAATAGAGAATATATATTGCATGCTAAAATATTCCCTTACCACACTGCATATATATTAGGATTGACATATTCAAAACCTCTTTGCAGCACTTCATTTAGAATGTGCGGTTTGAACTCAGTGCCCAAAGTTAGTGCTCAATCATTTAGCCTTGACAAAAGTTTCTGTGTTGAGTGTAGTGACAGAATGTGACGTTGCATAGAAGTTGTAATAAGACCGTGTGACTGTAACACCTCAGGAGTGATACAGTTATTAGCGGTTCTCGTCATGTATGACATGTAACACAATACCAGGCTAGGGACCCATTGTTCTTGAAGCTATGCCAGTTTAGTATGGCCATCAGCCAGAAAGTCATGTGGGTCGCTGTGACAGCTTAGTCTGTTGCTAATGTAGATTGTATTGTGTGGAGCAGGCCTCTTGTAGCTCCATGTTGATACATGAAGTGGTGATAAGGCTGTGACTAGGAGACTTGTGAGATGTTGTCAGTGTGGGAGAAGTTGTGGTGACTCTCTTGTGGTCGGCCTGACTTATAGATACAGGTCTAGGCCATGTTGTACAATGAGTGAGTGAGTGAGTTTAGTTTTACGCCGCACTCAGCAATATTCCAGCTATATGGCGGCGGCCTGTAAATAATCGAGTCTGGACCAGACAATCCAGTGATCAACAGCATGAGCATCGATCTGCGCAATTGGGAACCGATGACATTTGTCAACCAAGTCAGCGAAACTGACCACCCGATCCCGTTAGTCGCCTCTTACGACAAGATAGTCGCCTTGTTATGGCAAGCACATGGGTTGCTGAAGACCTATTCTACCCCGGATCTTCACGGGTCTCCATGTTGTACAAGATATGACACAATGATGATGCTAGTGTTTCTCTTTTGAAGTGTTCTAAAGTAGAAGCTGGTGCTAGTCTGTAATACCAGCCATCATTTATGGTTGCTAAGTTATTCTGAAGATTAGTCAAAATTACAAAAAAAATTAAAAGGCTCCCTTTTGTTAATCTTCAGTTTGGAACCCTATTTAAGTTTTGCTCTTGGAAACAAATTCAGTTATATACAAGATATTGTGTTATATTTATCACCATAAGTCATCGGTTTGAAGTCTGATGGTCAAAACATGAAGAGCTAGGAAACTTATATAAATTGGTCAACCACACACCTTCAGAGAATATCAGTTGTATTAAACAGTGTCGAAATAGTGTCATAGAAAGCTGTCAGGCAGCTAGATCCGGTAGTGCATCGCCCGTGAGGTTGTCTGGCCCATCTCCCAGGAAGCCCCCATGGAGCTAGGTGTGATAACATTAGCCTGAGTTATGACAGTGTTGTCAAACAAGGATTTGGTCACTGTGAAATATGCCTTAGGGGTGCCTAGATCACAGTGTACAGTAAACCATCAGTGTACGTGACATTATACATTTACTACATTTAGTGGAATTAACCTGCTGTGTACAAGATGTAAGTGATGGGCACTGTGGGACAGCTGATGATAACCATTCCCTGCTGGTTAACAGTAATCATCATCTCTGAAAGTGGCAGGTGCTTGTGTATCTTAAACTATCTTTGTAAGGATCGTTCCGGCCAAAACATTTCCTTTTATCTCTACGGTACATATAGGCCCTGAGTGATAGGAATAACAAATAAAGATGTAGGTTTTTGTTTATATTACTAATAATCAAAGCTAAACTGATATATTTGGAATGAATCTTGATGGACATTTGGTAATTCTATGTAGGTGCATTACTGTTCACATTTGAGACAGAGCATGTAATGGAAATAAGTAGGGGTGGGTATTGCACAGAATTTTCATATTGCAATATATTGCGATGCGAAAGCATGTATTGCGATATGTATTTTTAAACAAAACTACTTATAAGCGAGTTAATGCTTGATTTATAAAGCAAAAACACAACAAAATCACTATGCTTGATTAAGCTTTAATAACAACTTTTAATCATGATAAAATAAAAATGTGAAGAGTATTTGGCACAAATGAAACAAGGAAATATCCGAAGATTTCCGAGTGTTACGAAGTTTTCCGAGTGCTAGCCAAAATACCCGTTTTCAACCAGCGTATCGCAAAACGTATCGTTTTCATGTCTGAACCGGTAAATACCGGTAAACCGGTTATATTGCGCAGGCCTAGAAATAAGTGATACGTTTGGATGGCCCTAGTTACCATGAAATAATGTTCCATCAAAACAAATCTGCAGAATTTCATTATATACTGGACGAAATAAGTTAGGGATATTGGTGTTTTTATGATTGATATTTTATCAGTGTCACAATGAGTAAATAGATCATTATTCATAATTTCAAAATTTGCATATATCCCTAACTATTTTTGTCCAGTATATTTGTATAAGACTTTATGTTTTTATTTATTGAAGAACACTTTTGAGAAATGTGACAGAAGATACTGACCGTCTCCAGGAATGAGGCCAGTTGCCAGGTGCATGTTAGCTGTTGTTGTGGTGTGCAATACAAGAAGAAAATTCATGTTTTCAGAGAACGTGTTACCTAATTTTGTGTAATGTGATCATTTGGAATAAAAGCCTTTGTTGCTTTGTCAGGATTATGTTTACACAGAGTTGATATTTGATAAAGCTAGATTCACTGTTGATGGTATACACAGAATGAAATGGGTGTACCATGTACGTGGGAGATAGCCTTGATGTATCAGCTGGGAGCCCTACTTAACACCTGGACAGATGGGCCGGTCCAGCCTGGTAGGGGTGTGTGTTTGGTTTTCCATAAGACTATCTGACTCAAACTGACAGTTACAACTGAATAACTGCAGCTCCACCTCTGACATGTAAAACTGTCATCATTTTCTCATCCTGTTAGTCCATTCATTTGAGTTTCGAGGTAATTATTGGTGATTGAAGAATTTATAAGAATTGACTTTAATCTGTTTTTTTTGTTTTTGTTTCTTAAAGGGAAATCATGATAAAAACAGTATTCACGCTTTGTCTATAATCCACTCTTGCAAGGTGTTCCTGTTCATGTCTGCAAAAATAAGAAAATATTAAACTAAATTCTCATGCAATTTGCCAATTTTGTTTACAGGTACTAAATTTTAACATAATTTTGGTTTAACTTCAGAAAAGATTGCAGTATATGTTTTGAAGTTTGTTTCGAAAGCAGTATGACATGTATTTATAAAAGATATACAGCTCTGTTGCATAATGAAACTGATATTGATCATGTTCTCTGTTGATTCAAGTGTTCTGGAAGTAATCAATGGCTGCCTGGACAATGATGAACATGATATATGCTGTGGGGAGGGAATGTTGATAGTCTAGCTGTTTGCCCACAGTAATGGTTTCACCCACATACTACTTCCTGTTTCTATGGCAACATACAAACATCCTGTAGACATTGATCTCTCACATCAGGAAATTACTTTCATGTACAAGATCGGTAGTCCACTCTGTGAGAGACTGACACAGCAACTGTTATTGACTCAGAGACAACAATCAGCTGAGGAGAATATTCATCAGTTTTTGTTTACAAAATACTGGTATTGATAATGGATACATGATCAGTAGTCTCCATGTATATGTATCGATTTGGGTTTATTATTTAGTTCTGGAGTATTTTGTTGATGTCAGCGTTGCTGGAGAATGCGGCTGTCATGGAGTGGGGATATGAGTTGAACTTAGTCTCATCCTCGACTACGTGGGATGGGGATGTAGAAACCAAAATATGTATTGTAAACATGCTTTGTATACTGAAATAAGTATAATATCAATTACGTAAACATTTGTATCCTCTGTCAAGGAGTGGGAGGGGAAATAGGAATGAGTGTTGTTCGCCTGTCAGTTTTGTTTCACGGAAACTGTTAACTATTTTAAAATGAAACTCAAACGCTGTCCTTAAACACTGTTGTATTGAAGTTGAAGGTATCTGTGTTACAAATACTTCAACTTATTCGAATTTCGACAAAATCTCAAAATTATAACTGAACAAAATATACCTCTATGCGAGACAACCTTAAAGGTTGACATAAAAGTGTTTGACATAAAAGTGTTTGACTGAAGATGAGTGGGGAAACTTTACATTCAGGTCTTCACAAGACTGAAGATAATTTCACATTGTTTACTACAATGTGGGCAAACAAATTTCTAATGTGCTCCATGGTTGGGAGAGTAATAACACTGTTATCTTAATTGGATAGGTGGTAGGGCATTGGGAGGAGAGGTGTTACATCTGTGTTTGGTGTTGCTTTTCCAATATAAATCTTGGCCACAGTCATGGCCACAGGCTAGTAACGCATGAGCATGAACCTTGTGAACTGTTACATACCTGAATGAGACAAATCACATTATGATATACCTGATATGAACAATTTTGTCTTGTTTTACGAAATTCTTTACATCTTTCTTTCAAGGCAGAACTGGACGGTAGGGTAGCCTAGTGGTTAAGGCATTCGCTTATCACGCTAAAGACCTGAGTTTGATTGACCACATGGGTACATTGTGTGAAGCCCATTTCTGGTGTCCCTCGCCGTGATAATGACCTGAGTTTGATTGACCACATGGGTACATTGTGTGAAGCCCATTTCTGGTGTCCCTCGCCGTGATAATTATTGATATTACTGGAATATTGCTAAAACTAAAGCTGCATAAAACCACTCACTCACTCACTCAAGGCAGAACTCTGTGGGTGAATTTGGCCACTAATCCAAAGCCCTATTCTACTACAAAGAGTCAATTCTATACTGGAAGCCATTAAAAATGCAATTTGACATTCATACTTTCTTTACTCACACTAATTTCAACATATATAAACCTAACTGGCAGATATGTTTTAAGTGAACATCTGTGAATAATTTCATCTGAAAATGTCCAGTCAACAACAACAACATCAGTGACGCAACAACGACATCACACAAAGGATGGGTCACTTGCAGTCAATATCGTGTGTGTCCACCGTGCGCTGCAAGACATGCTCGCAGTCTTTGGGGCATTGAAAGACACACATTTCTCAGGAACAGCTGTTGGATGGTCTGCAGCCTCTGATGGTCTGTGGTCTGATCATGACACCACCCCTCCAAAACGATCATGTTCAAGGACACAGGTTGGCGGAAGTCTTTCTCCTTTACGCCGATAAATCTGTTGGCGCCCATCTGCAAAGGATAAGTTAAACCTGGATTCATCTGAAAAAATGACATTTGGCCATGTCCTGTTGCCAAGATTGGCCCCATTTGCTGCCCATCGCTGTCTGGCAAGTCTGTGGCGATGCAATAAGGTTGGACCACGGCACGGGTGACGACACCGATGTTGAAGGCAGCAAGGCGTCCTTGCACCTTTGGGCTGAAATGACGCTTGACTTGTGCCAATTGTCCTCCTTGCCTAATTCATCAGCTGTTTGGAACCGATTTCGCAAGTGTGAAACTCGGATATTGGCGGTTTTGTCGAGCTGTTATCACAGGTGGTGCACCAGGTCGCGATCAATCAGCAACACTTCCGGTAGCCCGCGTTGTCTGAGTTGACTTACAGTGGATGGATGCACATTAAAGTGCCTGGCAATCATCACATCTGAAGCACCTTGGCTGACCATACCGATAACCTGATTCCTTTCGTCTTGTGTCAAGTGTGGCATTTTCTCAAAGTGATTGAGTTCCACAATTCCTTGTGCTTTTACAGGGCCTGGGTGCAGGTAATGCATGTGCACAACGTGTTTCATGAATGTGGTTGTGTTTACGAGAAATGTCAAAGGTTCAGTTTTAAGTATCAAAGTTCATGTGAGAGGAATGCTCCGGGACTCGAACTCGAAATGGGCCAGAATAACAGCCTTTTATCCCTACATCCTCTGTATCGCAGGAAAAAATCTTCAATAGAACTTTTGTAAGTTTCAGGACAACAAATACCAATTGCGTTTTTAATGGCTTTCAGTATATAAAATTGTTAATGTGAAGCCTTGAAAAAATACAGCATATTTCTTAGATTACATAAGCCCATCTCACCCTTAGAAAGTAGATTTAAAGCCCTTACATCAATATCAGATCTAATAGTCGATGTCCCACTCTCAGCAGTGTAGTTGTGGCTATTGCCAGTAGAACTGTGTTAAGACCACCAGGGAGCTTGATCCCAAACAGACTGGTCTCCTGGTACGCTATAAGTCGATGTGCATGTAGTCTTTGTCTAAATCTGTTTGCACTCCCCTGCCACACCACTGTAAGCCAATAAACTGTGCAGGTTCGGGTAATAGGTGGAACAGTAATTAGTCAATACCCGTGGTATGTGGATTGTTATGTGCAAATACCATGGTATACAGGTAGAGGGCTTCTGTAGGTTGGCACTGCTTGGCTCTTGTTGACGGTATAGGTACTGTTCATACTATCTCGCTTAGTGGGCTTAGTCAAATCTCAGCTGTACAGTTAGACCGTTGTGTGTCCAGGGATAGTCACAGATTTGCAGGTAGATTGTTGAATGGAATTGGATGGTGGTGGTAATGTTGTTGGGGTGTGTATTGAGATATTCAAACAAGTACCTGATAATGTCATTACCTGTCAATTATTAATGTTAGCAAAACTCACACTCTCAAATCATTGCAATTCAGATGATCTACCTAAAAAACCCAGAAATCTCTTTATCCATTGTAGGTCTTTACAATCTTTTTAAAAAATCATGATGGAAAATAGAAACCATAAAATCTTGATAACTGCTCATATTAATAACCATGATCAATAACTTATTCATTGATAAATAGATTTTATAATCAGAAGCCTGCCAGCAGTTTCTGCAGGACTGTAACTATGTTGTGAATAGCCAGCAGAAAGAAGGAAAGCTTACCGACATGTAGTGTTTCTTCTCTCTGGTACATACCAGATACTGACTGGTAAGATGTTACTGGGATCGGTATATTTGAGGTTAATGGTCTCCATGCTTGGTTGAAATTTTCACAGAAAAGTATATATCATATCATTCACTGTTGTGACAGTACTTCACATGATCCAGTTTGGACATGTGCAAGTCACTATCAATGTATCTGGTGGAAAACAGGTGTCATACAAAGTCTCAGATCTATTTATAAGTGATGAACAAATATTTTAGCTGGGTTTATTTGTTTGCTACTGGCCCAAGTGACTGGCAGATAAATATGCCTCCCTTAAACACTGATAAACATGATCAAAGTGTCAAGTCATGGGTTTCTGTTTAGCTGATCAGGTCGTTAACTGCAGTTGACTTTAATATCTAAAACCATCTTAAACCATTACAATGTCATCAGACCGCCTCCGTGGTGTAGTGGTTAGAGCATCCACCTGGAGAGCAGAAGGTCGTGGGTTTGATCCCCCCACCGCATCATACCAAAAGACGTTAAAATATGGTACTTGTTGGTCCCTGCCTGGCGCTCGGCATTAATGGGTACAACAAGGACTGGCTGTCTTGGAGTCAGTATAATGTGTCTGAGTGGGGTGTTCATGCTTCACTGCGGTATGGTATCTCAGTGGGCTAGCACTATAAAACCAGCTTAAGTCGGGGCTAGTACAAGCAGCCGCACATACACATACACACACATGCACGTCGTCATATGAGCGAAATATTCTCAAGCACGACGTAAAACCCAATTTCACCTCACCTCACAATGTCATCATGCTGTTGTTGATGGAGCATTTCGCTGCACATTCTGAATGTCATTTATGCATGAGGTCATTCTGCACATTATATGGAAAGTATATATCAACAATAACATGTTTAAGACAGAGAATACAACCAATCTATTTGAATTCAGAAGAAGAGGCAACAGATATTTTGTGATTTTTCCATCAAACTATCTCTTATCCTACATTATGCAGCATCATATGTGAAGAAGGTGTTGTAAGCCTTTTCCTCCTTTGATTAGTTTTCTCTCCAGTTTATCTGAATTAAGGTCAAACAATTAATAGACACATGGGCATTAATGAAGCATCACCAAGGTTACTAATGTTTTAAACTCTGATCAGCTGCATGAAGAGATGCCTTGGCATGAGAGGGATGGATACTCCAGGTACTAACTGTGGAGTCACTGGTGATTCCTAGGTTGACAGTATTTGTATAATGTAACAGTCCTCCTCCTTGTGTGGGCTTGGTGCTGATACTTTTTGGAAATGTTGAAATGGTGTCAGCTTCATTATTTGGGTGATGGTAGTGCCAGGTGTTCTACTTGATACTTTACTACTCTGTTGTCGTGTTGCTATGAGGTTTCATGTATGGAATTCTACAGTGCAGCTAGTGGAGCTTTTATGTGCTCTTCATGTACCTTCAGGAACCTGTGAAAATGAATGCATTTGAAGCACTCTTAAAATATTGTTTTGACAGGGTGAATCTCATCAGTAGAAATTTCCAGTACAGCTTGGTTATCAGAATTTCCTTAGTTCATAAACTTTTATAAGAGTCCCAATATCAAGTCAAAGAATTTTTAATACATTTTTCATAACATTAGGGAGCAAATTAACCTGAAAGTTTTACAAGATGTTATAAGCTTATGAGAAGCTTCATCAAAAGTACTCAGAATAGACATTAGAACAGCTGACTTGGGGAAGTAGTCTTGTCACATGTTGCATCACTGAGAATCAGTGAATCAGTCATGGAATCACATGTCGAAATAGAAATATCATTTGTACTCCTTCAAGAAACTCCTCCATTACTCTGCTTACACAATGAGGAGCGGTTGGGTAGCCAAGTGGTTAAAGCATTCACTCGTCATGCCAAAGATCTGGGTTCAAATCGCCACAGGGTTCAATGTGTGAAGCTCATTTCTGGTGTGCCCTACCGTGATATTGCTGGAATATTGCTGAAAGTGGCATAAAACTGAACTCACTCACTTACACAATGTACAAGAGCCACTGGGAGACAAATGTAACAGTAACTCCAGCTCTTGGTAAGTGCACTTATGCTGACATCTTGTAAAGTCTGACATTGAACATGATCAATGACCCACAACAGGGGCAGGATGTTACTGGCAGGATGTTACTGGTTACTGGCAGGATGTTACTGGTTACTGGCAGGATGTTACTGGTTACTGGCAGGATGTTACTGGTTACTGGCAGGATGTTACTGGTTACTGGCAGGATGTTACTGGTTACTGGCAGGATGTTACTGGTTACAGGCAGGATCTTACTGGCAGGATGTTACTGGTTACTGGCAGGATGTTACTGGCAGGGTGTTACTGGTTACTGGCAGGATGTTACTGATTACTGGCAGGATGTTACTGGTTACTGGCATGATGTTACTGGCAGGATCTTACTGGTTACAGGCAGGATCTTACTGGCAGGATGTTACTGGTTACTGGCAGGATGTTACTTGTTACTGGCAGGATGTTACTGTTTACTGGCAGGATGTTACTGGTTACTGGCAGGATGTTACTGGTTACTGGCAGGATGTTACTGGCAGGGTGTTACTTGTTACTGGCAGGATGTTACTGATTACTGGCAGGATGTTACTGGTTACTGGCAGGATGTTACTGGTTACTGGCAGAATGTTACTGGTTACTGGCAGGATGTTACTGGTTACTGGCATGATGTTACTGGCATGATGTTACTGGTTCCTGGCAGAATGTTACTGGTTACTGCAGGATGTTACTGGTTACTGGCAGGTACTTTATTCAAGGGCAAAACTTTCATAGCTACGTACATCACTGTAGACTTGATCTAACCACATACTACAAGATGGTAGAAAGTTTAACCTTTATCATCATTTCATGTGTGAGAACAGCAGATATGTTTTTTTCTAATGATGTACACTAGACTTATCAGGTATTTGTCTTTGTTTTAATTTAATTAATATGCGGCATGAAATTTGGAAACATACTTATGAATGTGGTATTTAACCTTGTGACATATAGAATGAAAACACTGCCTTGAGTAGAGAAATATTTGAGACATTAAGTATTAATGTATGTTATATTTGGGATTTGGTATAAATGGAAAATGATATTTGTCTCCAGTTTGCATTCTGTGCATATTTGACTTGGCTAAGGTTGTACAACATAATCAAGTGAGTGAGTGAGTGAGTTTAGTTTTACGCCGCACTCAACAGTATTCCAGCTGCATGGCGGCGGTCTGTAAATAATCGAGTCTGGACCAGACAATCCAGTAATCAAGAGCATGAGCATCGTTCTGCGCAATTGGGAACCGATGACATGTGTCAACCAAATCAGAGAGTCTGACCACCCGATCCTGTTAGTCGCCTCTTACTACAAGCATAGTTGCCTTTTGTGGCAAGCATGGGTTGCTGAAGACCTATTCTACCCCGGATCTTCACGGGTTACAACATAATGAAGATTGGGTCAGCTGTGACATACTGGGAGTTGCACAGCATCACGTTACAGTGAATACCTGGCTGTCACGGCAACAGAGATGCAGAGCCTCTACATTATTTATTGCAACTGTCAGCATAAGAGGATTGACAGTGTTACTGAATTAATGGCTGGCCTCTCATCTTGAAGTCACTGTTTTCCTTTTCATTCATCTAGTGCCTGAAACAGAACTTTTGTTATCTTTTGTTTTCTGTGTTTCTATGGAAACAATCCTACAAAAAAATGATTGTCAATTGGCATTTCATGGCTGTGTTTGACCGTTATTCATCCGCAAATACTTTAAGTACATGTTGTTTTATGGGGTTTTATGTTGCAGACATTGATGTCCCACTATGTTGTGGTCGTTACGTGTGTAAATTAGATGCTGATGCAGCCGAGTTGAGTGATTGTGGGAGAGATGACCTGTATTGGCAGGGCACAGTGACATACTGCTGGTCAGATCACCTGCTATTGCTCTGGGTGGGTATGTATAAGAGAAACCAACACAAAGATGAGAAATAGGATGATGTTGTTTAGATTAAACCTAAACTCCACTTTTTGCCTGGTGTAATGTAGACTTGGGTATTTATTTGTTGCTGTAGTGTTGATGGAATATTGTTAGCTGAAACTTCAAACACTCACTCACTCACTCACTCACTCACTCACTCCTCACTCACCACACCCACCCACCCACCCACCCACCCACCCACCCACCCACTCCACCCACTCCACACTCACTCCACTCACTCACTCACTCACTCACTCACTCACTCACTCACTCACTCACTCCCTCACTCACCTGAATATACAGCACAGTAGACAACCAGCAGAGAATTAGCAATTTTTTTTCATCTATTTAACCGAAGAACACATTTCATATAATGTTCAATAAATATTCTGTTGTCATTTTGATCTCCCAAAGCTTATTTGTTACCAATACAATCTGTGAAGCATAAAGTGAAAGTATGGTGGGTTTAAAACCGATACTGTTTATTGTGTAGCTTGGAAGTTCCCATATTATTTTGTACTTCATTTACACACAGCTATTTTAAGAGAAAATTGCTCCATGGTCAAATAATGAATGTAGTTTTCATAGAGATAACTTAACTGTTGAATAGATCAAAGTTTGATATGTATCAATACTTTCACTTTGATGTAAGTCCAAATTGTGAATACAGGCTTGATTCATTCATGACATGAAGCCTTGTAAGGCAATAAGGCTGACTTTCTGTTTCATGTTTTCATTGTGAAAGGAAATGCCACTTCCTACTATTCAGAACAATGTGATACACTTCAACTCTCATGCAGTCTTACATGGTACATGTTTAGAAATCAATGCAAGCCCACAAGATTGTTGCTGGATTAAGTTTTAGAGGGGTGGAGTAGAGTATAGTAGAGTGTAAAAGAGTGTAGAAGAGTGTAGTCGAGTGTAGTGTAGTACAGGCCTACCATACAAACGGTGAACAAATCATCAAAACTGAACTGATGTACACCAAAACAGAACAAAAATCACCAAAACTGCAACCATATGCTCTAAAACCGAAACAATACCTCTGTAATGGAAGACTAATCATTTGAAATGGAAACAAAACTTGCGTATCAGCTGCAAGAGCGCGCGAGAACGGTTGCTGAGCGTACAAAACGGCATTCATAGCATCCCAACACGGCAGTCATAGCATCCCGAAACGGCATACAAATCGTCAAAGATGGCGGCGAGGGGAGACGAATAGGCTTTGGTACATCATGTTTTTCGTCACTATGAGTCTAATCTTGAAAATTTGATATCGGGATGTAGTGCATAAACCCCCTATTGTAGTAAGCTTCAAACCTATGTCCATACTTCTATATGTTATTACAGTGGAATGAGTGAGGTTTTATGTCGCTTTTAGCAGTATTCCAGCAATATAAGTCGGGGGGACACCAGAAATGGGCTTCACACATTGTACCCTTGTGGGGAATTGAACCCGTGTTTTTGGCATGATGACAAACCCTTTAACCACTAGGCTACCCCACTAGCCCCTATTACAGTGGTAGAAAACTGCTTGAGAATATAGAGCTCCAAATACAGGTGGTTGTCAGTGATTGTGTAATGCAGATTGACGACCCACTCAAACCACTTGTCACACCCTGTATATGATTCACTCAATATATTTGCTAAGACCAAA